TCCCAAGCGTTAGTTCGAGCCTCTCAGATCGCTAAACTTTCTGGAATCATCCATACCACCAACCACCTCTCCCGCTTCGCGCGTCGTCGACCGTACCTGGTGTGCAGGTCCATATGAGCGCGCAGCGCCTCAGTCATCCTCTGCTGCTGGTGCCACAGTCGGTAGTGGCGCGGGTTGACTGAACTGGGCTCCAGGACGGGCGGGGGCGGCGGCGGCGGCGGCGGAGGCGGCGAGGCCGGGAGGTGGGTCCGGTAGTACAGATGGGGGTACGGAGAGGCCGCCGGGGTGAACAGCTGGTACTGGTCGGCCGGCGTGCCGCGACCGACTGCGGGACGCAGAGAGAGGTCAGGTTACCACAGAGGTCATAAGGGGGCATTGTACAGCAGAGCGGCAGCCTGGGGCAGGCAGGGGTCACCAGGGAGGTTCCTGCGATACACATAGATATACAACACAACACACAGAGGTAGAGACAGCAACAACACACGACCGCGAGGGCACCTCAACCTTACGACCTCAGCCCCCGATTGTGCCAACACTGACAGCCAGTATCTCCCTCCCAGTCTAGCTGCATCGACCAGTGCCTGGCTGACCTGCGGAACCAACCAACTGACCTGCAGGCCCGACCGATAGCCAACTGACCTGTGGGCCCGCGGTGCGCCGGGCACGGCGGGTTGTTGGCCACCAGAGGCGGCTGCCGACACCGCTGCGTCGCGCCGGCGTGTCCGCAGCCATGCCAGCGGCGCGGCGGCCGGCTGGCATGCGCCGGCGGCGGCCGGCTGGCGGCCGCCGCGGCGCCATGGCCCCCGTGGGCGGCCGGCGGCGGCCGGGAGTAGGCTGCAGCGCCGGGCTCGGCGGCCGGCTGTCCCTGCTGGCGCACCGGCCACGGCCAGCCGCGGCGCACCACCACCGGCTCCGTGCGCGCAGAGGTGCCTCTGGGGGACGGACAAGGGGCGTCAGGAGACGGTGGACCGCATGGTTCCTCCCACTGATCACCACTTGATACTACACCATGACGAATAAACCACCCAATATCCAGCCTCACCACAAGGTCTATCAAATTTCGTATATATTTTTTACGAATATGATCAGGGATTCGAGAAAGACTTGCTTCATTGACACTCCAGCCCGATTCTACACTCACCTGCGCTCTTCCCCTGCCATGACGGCAGCGGCAGCAGCTGCAGCAGCCGCGGCGGCCGCAGGGGCGGCGGCAGCGACAGGAGCGGCAGGGGCGGCAGCGGGAGCCGCAGCTACAGGGGCGGCTGGAGCAGCGGAGCCAGGAGCAGGGGCAGCGGGAGCCTGATCGGCCGCAGGAGTGTGGGCAGGAGCAGCGGCGGCAGCGGCTCCGACTCCGACTGGAGGCTCCGTCTCGGCAGCGGCAGCGGCAGCGCGCTTGCAGGAGGGCCGAGCGGGCGGCGGCGCCGGCGCCGGCGGGGCCGCTCCCGCGCCGCCGACCTCCATGGGTTCCACCTCCGTGGTCAGATCGACCACCTCCACGGGCGCACTCTGACGGTGGACGCAGTAGAGGGCGGTCATAGGACTGGACGGTCATACGTCAGATATCTAGGCGGTCATACGACAGTGTCGTCGTTTGGTGCCACGTAATGTGTATGCGGGACCTGACTGCATTGAATATGACGATGATTCTAAATTCACGGGCGTCTGGACTTGATCATTTATCAGAGTCAATGACGCCACATTTAACAAACACAAAACACCGTCAAATCAACGCTGTTCGACAGTAGGAGGCTAAACCTGTTATCGAGGATTAAGACGCAGCTGGCAAAAAAATCTAAACATCACCCATCTCTACCTTCTGGCCAAAGCCCAGCACACCATAGAAGACAATCAACCACCTCACTTACCCTGGCCGGCGGGCGGACACACTCGATCTGACAGTCGTCATCAGCCGAGTCATCCGACTCGTCCGAGCACCAGTCGAGCTGCAGCTCGGGCGCCAGCGGAGCGTCGTCCCTGGCCGAGGCCGAGGGCCCGGCCGTGCCCGACGGACCTGCAGAGCAGACAGGGGGAGCTCAGGGAGTGCAGGGGTCCTCCAAATCTCACATAGTAGTGTCAACTAACGTCCAGCGTCCAGTTCAGTGTCAAAGTACTTGCGGCTGTTGACAATATCACGGGCTGATGTTATGCGCAGGTTCTTGTCGAAGTTATGCCCAGACGCCAGCAGCTCACAGCATGCATTGATTTTTCTCATGACTTCCTAGTGCCTAGCCATGTTTGAGCAAGGGACAAAATGGCACCGAAAAGACTTTGAGACGAACAATGGACGGTGACAAAGACGAAAGATTTAGCACGCGACGGATCGGATTGGTGAGCCCCTGGCACGGTAGACACGCGAGGCCGACACTGCGCAATTGCGAAGGGAAGTATGGCAGGGGAGGGGAGGAGTCGGCATAGACACATTGTTGGCTAAATGGAGCGTCAAGTATCATTTTTACTACCATTGAAAGTGACAAATATATAATTGTTTTACCGCCAAATCCTCCAGCTTATTTTTCGTCGCAATTAAGGCGACTTTTTCATTCGCATAAGAAGTTCTGCAACCGTCGCTCACGGATGACGGAAGTAAGGTATGTCCGAGTCTATTATCAATGAACCAAGGTAACGCAGGCTCACGCACGCAGTGCGCCGGTGTACTTTAGCCCGTTTTGTTAGCTCCGGGGAAACTGCCGCCTGGGTGTGTAACAAGTCTCTAAGACTGGGTGTACGTCTCGCCGATCCTCGCCGGCGATACGGCGCCGCGCTATTCCCGCGCGATACCGCTTATCACCGGTACCATCGGAGCAGGATAAACCAGTCGCCCTCAGTCCGGCGGCCGGCCGTTTCCTGTCCTGCGGCGAGCACTGGGGTAGGGCTGGCGCCCTGTCCACTGACCTGGCTGGGGCTCGGCCGGTGCCGGAGGCGGCGGCGGCGGAGCGGCCGGCCGGCCGATCCCGGCGGCCTCCGCCGTCCGTTCAGTCTTGATGTGACCGGGCGGCGCGAGCAGCGGCGGCGGCGGCGGCCGAACGCGGCCCGGCTCACCGCTACTGTCGTACCGGCTCCTCTTGTGGACGCCGCGCGGACGCAGGGGTGGCGGTGGCACGCGCTCCGAGCTGCCACTGGCGCCGGGCCGCTGCGAGCTGCCGCGGCCCAGGCCGGCGCCGGCGAATATCTCATCGTCCTCTATATCCACCAGCCCTGCTGATAGGCACACAAAGTGGGACATGCAGATTAATACAGGACACATATAGGTATATTGGAGTTCAAACACAGACCAGAGTCACCCTTTCAACTTTCCTAAACTGTAAAAAGAGATCCTGTATAACATAACTATTCTAGAAAGAAAGTCCAATCATCAAGTTAAGGATAAATTAGAATTGCATGATTATGAAGCCAGATGCACAAATATTATTTTTCAAACACTCACATCAATCTTCAAACTATGAAAATGCCTAGTAGTGAAAAACAAAGCAGCTATACGGTTGAAAATAGGTTCTATCAGTAACTTGCAATACATTGGTATACTAATATAGATACCATGATTACATGGTTATGCTGAATGCTTAGTTTCATGCTATTGCTCTTTGCTTAAAAAGTTTTTTGTTGTTATTAGATACTGCAAGAATACAGGGTTAACTTATTCATAAGGACAAAACAAATTAATTGATCATTTTCAGAGTATTAACAAAAACAAATGAAAATGGCTTAGATTTAACATGTCAAGCAAATAACTTCTTTTTAGCAATATCAAAGACACTTGCAACAAGATGAATATGGTTCCAAGCAGTGCACAGCCCTCATCAGAGTTTGAGGAGCTGGCAATACATACCTGCTGTATGTGGGTCATTAGCTGGTGCACCTCTATAAGAATAACTATCTAAAAAATCTGGATTATAGGCAGTCTGAAGCAGAGAAGTAAAATTTGGTGGATTTTCTGGCAGATGGTGAGAATATTCGTCATTTCCAGGGTACCCATGGGCAGTATTTTCATAATATGGTGGAGGAGGCAGCCCAACAACATGATTATATCCACCGGGTGCCCACGGCTGCAGATGCACGTAACTCTGCACTATCAACCCAGGCGCACCGAGACTTGCAGACATCGGGACATCTCGATCAGAAGACACATTGTCCAGGAAGCTTCTCTCTCCTGAATATGCTGGATACATGTTTCTTCAGTCACAACCAAGAGTCAGCACTAGTGGTCAATCTTCAAGTTGAAGTGGCCATTCACCAGGTAGCCTTGGGAGGAGGTCGAAGTTTTGTAGGCAACATCAAGCAGTGGCTGATATTGATCCGCACACTGGCATGCAAAATTGTAGCGCCTTTTCAGAATGATGAGAACTTCAAACATAGAAAGCACCACATAGATACAAAACGTTTAATTTTCAACCTAATTCATTTATCCACACACACAAAACATCATCCACAGGTGACAGACAAAATGCTCGTTTTGTGGTTATGCCTAAAAGCACTTCTGTTGTCCTAGCAAAACCTATTACGTCATTACCAAAGCAAATGAAAGCAGAAAAGTGTTGTCGTCCAAGCATTTTCCTGTTGCAAATATATAAATTGATCCTGCTAGTTGCTTTGTGGAAAGATTTGTGTAAAATTAACAAATTCTTTACTTCGTGATCTATTAGTATTTTACCCATCCTAATCGAGTGGTGAAGGGAATGTTTAATGACATCATCAAAATAATGAGTCGGTTATAAGAAATAAAAGGAAATATTTGTTTCATTTATGGCGCAATGGATAGCAAAATATTATTTCGGTTACAAATGACGTTTCTTTGAATTAATGACTCCTTTTCCCCTCCATTGGCGAATGAGTAATGCGATTTAATAATAGAATACATCGGCAAATTTTTATTTTTTATTTCTATTGCAAAAAATGTAATTTTGTTGAGAAATAATGCAAGTAAATACCTTTACTTTTTTAAGGACGTATTAAATCATACTAAAGTGGAAGGTAACTTAAAGATCAACCTTGACCAGTTTCGCTTTCTGAGAGGAGTCGTGTGTATGTGTGGGAGAATGGTCGTGAATTTTGAATTAATTTTGCGTTGATACATCTTACAACAGTTTATACTTAAGCCTAAAAATGCAAATTGAAGGAAACATTTCATTCAATTGGACCTAAATAATTCGATAACTTCATTTGGCCAGGTGAGCATCATCCTTTTTTGTGCTCCAAAATCAAAATAAAAAGTTGAGCCACTTTGACTTATCTAAACTGAAATGGGTTATTGGTTTAAAGCGTTCATTGCCTATTGAATTTCAATTAAATTGATTTTAATTTTATTTGGCTGTGTTTATATGCTATCTGTGTTCCTGCCCATTTTGGCTTAGCATCAGAATGTCAATTCCTTTCATTTGGCTCTTAGGATGAAAACTGAATGATCAGACCTGTGGATCTATGAGGCCGGGGTGTTCACGGGCACCGCTAACTGCTGAGTGTGGTGTTTGCAGTGTGTGCAGCAGGTGTGGGGGTAGGGGACGGGTAGGTGGTTATGACGTCAGTCGTCACGGCTGCGTCCAGTGGATGGTCCCCACTCCCCTGTGGCCGATCCTGACTGACCACAGCAACAGCGGTCGTGTGTGCGGTGACAGAAGGATGACAGGGACACAGTTGGCGGAGCCCACAGCCTGTGTACGGTCCGACCACACACAAGGCCCATGAACAGCCCTCTGTTTTAGGGTCACATTGCTGAATCTGATCATTCAATCTTCAGTTATCACCTGCATTTATTAATTGCTGCTGGCCTGGCTGTATGTACATTGTCCTCACAGACTGTTAGCAGCTCACCTTATGATGACCCAGATGATGTAATGTCATGTCATCCCCAGTCCCCACCCTGTTTAAATGTGTTGCCCATCCCATGGTTCTTACTGCATAATTGGTTGTGCACCTGTGTTGTGACACTTGGCCTGTGTGGCATGAGCAGTGCTAATTTACTGCCAGTCTGCAAAGTATGGTAATTTTGATGAGCCTTATGGTTGCAGCAGGCTTGTTCTGCTGGTGTGGATTTGATGCTGTTTGTGATCTGGTGAGGTGCTGTGAAAAGTTGGCTTAGTGCAGTGCGGTGCAGACATGGCTTAGTGACAGACATGACAGACCCAGCAAGACAGATAAGGAAAATTGAAAAATGTTGTAGTTTGACATTTGATTCAGTGTGTTCTTAGGTCTAAATGAGTGCGTGTGGAGTTGACCCAGGCAGAGGCTAGTTAAAACCACTGGCTTGCAGGCTTATTACTGAAACTGGTTCTCCAGTCAGAGGCTAGCGCTAATCACAAACACGTGCGTTTGCCCCCCTCCCCCCACCGGAGACTTAGGGTGGCATGGGACAGGACAGGGATGATAAAGCCCGACCCACATTGCCACACTGTCGGCTGTCCCCGGTAGCAAGTTCGCACTGTTACAACACGCTACACACCGCCCGGACGGTTGCCGTCACAGTGTCGTCACCCGTGGCCGGCGCATCGGCGCGTTGAGCGCCCACTCGGCTCCGCGATGCGCCGACAGTGGGGTGTGAGGGCTGAGAACGGCCGATGGGAGGGACTCGAGATGAGCACGGCAGGTGGTACAGTCCACAGCAGAAGTAATGTGCGGTTTCAGTCATGGGTATGTTCTGCTTCTGAAGCTTAGGAACGATTAACCAGACTACAATGAAACTTTGAATGTAGCTTATATTGTACCGTCACCCTTGCAGCTGCAACTTTAGCTATTGACATCTTCTTTTCGATCACTCCGCATTAAACAATCACCAGTCAAAGCCAACCGTTGAGATTGGTAAAACCCTACAGGGTGTCTCAAAAGTTCGTTCACAGGTACCAGCCATGCTTTTTTGTTAATAATTCTGAATCAACAATTAATTAACGGTCGAAATTTTGCATGGGCATTCGTAACAACCTTCCTCAAGCAGTCTCATTGTTTTCAAGCGCATTCGACCCTTCATGAGCTCACAAAAAGGGTTCATCTCTGACCATGGGTCAGGCATGAAAATGGAGGTCGCAAAATCGGGTCGGCTGAGAAACTCTCTATTTCAGGAGTAATGGGAATGGTTAAGTCGGAAATGACCCATGGCAAACTGTCGGCGAGGATGAGTACAACATGATGATCATCTAATAAAAACGGTGGCTAAAATTTTTGAAGGACAAAACCATGCGAGACTAACAGCGTTTTGAACGACCCTCGTACGGCAGCAGACTCGTGCTCCAGAAAGCAGCTTAAAATGAAGTCATAACTATTGAAAACTGACAAGAAGCTCACAGACAGAGGTTACCCAGTTTCACAAATTGCAGGTCATCGTAAAATAAAGACAAAGTATCATTTTAAATTGTTTATTATATCTATAACGCTAAATTTTGGGGGAAAATAACACGAAAATCGTCAATGCCAAGGACAACTGACCCTTCAAAAGTGTCAATTAATGTAAATTTTTATCTTACGAAGTTTCCAGAGGCAGATCTGGAGCGAATAGCTTTCTTTTAGACACAAAATCCCGACAAAACCGCACGATGGACAGGTTTTGGCCGTTTACAAAGCAGAACCTCTCCTGAGGAAAACACTCCGCAACCCAGTGAAGATCTTGTCATGGGGAATGATGAGCGTTTGGGATTTACAAAATTTGCACAACGTGTCTAAGAAACAGATGGCCGACACATTCTTCTACGATATGCTGCGAAAAATTTGCCCCTGGCACTTCCCATTTGTTCAGGAATGGGGTTGTTTTGAAAAGGAAAATGGTGCTTGGGAGGTCGGCGCAAGTCATTCATGAAGGAGTTAGCGCCAGAGAAGACCTACAAAATACTCACGGGTGGTGTCGATGCAAGCTGTCGGCTTTCAGGGAGAAGCGGATGTTGCCGGGGAGCTCGTCAAACCTAAATCCGACGCAGAAACTGCAGGGGATTCCCCTACAAGAGCTTGAAAGCTGGTAACCTTTTATCAGCCTCCGGCAGCTGACGGAGCGACGAAAATCGGTATGGACAAATATTTTTGGAGATACAGCAAATAGTTTGATTTCCAACCTTCCGAATCAGTTGTCAAAGCATGCATATATGTCTAGTGTGCACACAGACACCAAAACCTTAGATTTTTGGCCGGTTATTATATGCTTTATGGGCATGGGAAATGTGTGAACGAACTTTTGAGACACCCTGTACATTACTTTAGCGGTGGGCTGTACCTAGGGCTTAAAGGCCACCGCTGCGCCGCTTCAAGCCGTCAAATAATACACTGTAGTGTGAACATTTTATCAGGTACCCATGTTCGACGCAGCTAATAAGTTGCGTCAAAAGAATCTGAGGTTGTTGCGTTCTGCGGCATTGGTAAACGAGATGCGCTCGGTTCATGTGAGGGTTTGGCGTTGTCGCTCGGTGGTAGGGCGAAATGCGAATGGCTGATGGCTGGCCTTTAGGACCACCACTTTTGCCGTGTCTCAAGTAGTCAAATCTGCTGTGAATGATTTGCCTATAATCATTGTTCGACACACCTTACGAGTGACGTCGAAAATGCATGCATGCGATAAACCGATTGTAGCTTGTGTCTACAATCGGTTTAAATTCCTGTTCCAGTGAATAATTATACAACTGCCAATTATACGTTTTCCAGCCGCTGCGGTGTGGCTCCGGGCTAAATGTACCGGATTTGACTGTGGACGACTGTGGCTCCGGCTCCTTCCACCCCAAGACATGTTCCTTCATTATTCAAACATCAGTTGTTCTCTAGACTGCTACACTTTGATCCCAATGCTCTTCGCCCACCGTGTAATGCATGCCATGCTGAAACATGACATTGCAATGGATATCGCTGGATATTGCTTCCGCATCCCTATCTGACTTTTTCATCTCTCTAGTATCTGCCTGGTGGTCGCACCAAAGCTTTATTACCAGCATTGCCAGTAACGACCACCCGTAGTATGGCGGCGCATTTCTGGGCTGTGACGTCAGTGTCTCGCCCCAACAGAGCTCAGAGATACAGCTGCACGGACTACCTATTTTAGCACGGCATTGGGCCGTTTTCCCAGCTAACTGTCCATATTCTTAGGACGTGCCTGGAAGAGCGTCGCCCTTTGCCGGTAAAATGTCAACTGGGCATGGTGTTTAGTCCAGGAAGAAGGTCGTTTTTCAATACTCCTGCGTATTGATCCTCCCTCATTATTTCTAACCAAATGAATGCTCTAAGTCTGCCAAAGGCAAAGAGTGCATGAATCTACCTAACTAAATAGACACTGAAAATATGTCAGTGTTATACTAAATTCCTGGCCAAGGACGGCCTGTTCGCTTATATTCAGACTTTGTGTGTTTTAAACGACATGATTGATATAACCATTTTGTCTGCACATTTAAACACGAGTTGCTGAACTGCTGTTATCCGGCGTTCCTGGCGGTCGCTGGGACATAACACAGACGTCCCACGTCCACCGTGGTATGCACGAGTGGTGACCTGCAGAGTCGCTGGAACCGCGGTGGGCGTCCGTGGGTCGATTGTAAACCCACGGTCTAATCGACTGGGCGCGGTGTGTGACTGAACTGAACCTGACTGGGTGGTTGCACAGTGCACAATGCATAGCCAGCTGTCTGCTGTGTGCTTATATTTTTGTTGGGTGCGTTGACAAACAGCCTGTGTTGTTGACATGGCCAGAATGCTGGATGTGGAGCTTCTGAGTGATTGGTGTAGTGATACGTGACCATAGCTCATATTTATAAATGTGTTGGTACTTTGGTGTTTTGCTTCCGATGAGCTGGGCTGTATCATGTGATCGATTACTGCAGGGAACAAGCTTAATAGCGGACATACAATTTGTACTTTATCAGCCCATGCTCGGCTATGTGAAAAAATCTGTCAACGACGCTGTCGCACTAAGAATGTGTTTATTTTATTCCATCCTAGCACCTCCGCCTGGTCCATATGTTTTCTGTCCAGTGTGAAACAGCTCCCACACACGCCACGCCGCCCGGTGGCACCGGTGACCGAGTCCGGTCGGACGGTCCGCGCGACCGACCCGCGGCCGCCGCCTGAGTCACCCCGCCAACACATCGATCCGGGCGTAGCCGCCCTGCTCTGGCCGTGCCGTGCCGTGCCTTGCTGGCGGCGGGGCCGGCCTCTGATCTCGGAGTGACGGCCCGCCGGCACTGACCGGCCGCTCTGTTTACTCCGGGCTCGCGGCTCGCTCCCCGTGTACGAGCGGCGCTGGGCGGCCGCCAGCTACCCTCCTCCCCTCCCCTCCCCGCACCCGTGCGCCCCGGCAGACGGACAGACGGTCGGTCGGTCGGTGGGGCTGGTGAGGGCAGGTCTGTCTGTCGGTCAATCGGGATGTCTGTTTCGTCTGTCGCGTTAGTATGTCTGTTTGCCTGTGTGTGTCGGCCAGTTTGTCTTGTCCGTATTCCTGGCCTGTTCTTGTATGTCTCTGTAATGGTTTGGTTTGTAAGTCTGTCTGCCTGTCTGTGAGTCTATTTGTCTGTCTGTCCGTCCGTCTGTCGGTCAGCAGTGGGCGGCGGTCCGGACCCTATACAGTATTTAGCGAGGGAGCGACAGGCCCACGTGACGGCCGTCAGTCGGCCTTCGACACTGGACAGAGGCACCGCGCCGCCTGGAGTGCCGTGTGGTCCGGCGAGTGCGTGTGGAGTGGCGTGTAGGGCCCCAAGGGGGAGGGTGTGAGTACCTTCAGCGCAGTGAGCTGATCCGATACCGGGCGGTGTTTATACCTTAGGTAAGGTGAACGGTGGAGTTGCTTGGATCAGCCAGGGAGAGCGGCGTGACTTGGCGTGGAGTGAAGTGAATTGATTGACGTTGAACTGAAGTGGATTGATTGGTGGTGGACTGAAGAAGATTGTTTGATACTGATGAGTGAATTGAAGATGTTTCATTGGCAGTGCACTGAACTGTATTGATTGGCAGGGGACTGGATGGTGGATTGGGAGTGGATCGGGTGATGCTGTAGAGTTGAGTGGATTCGGATTGCAGCACGGTGCTACTGAGTGACCCGGTGCGAGGCACACAGTCCGCTGGACCGACCGGGCCGCCGGCGGCTGACCTGTTGATGCCGCCGGGGTCGTGACAGGCCGACGCTGGCGTCTATTCTGGTGGGCGCCGGGGCCTCCCGCCGGCCCGGCCGACCCAGTGACGGCCTTATCCCAGCCCTCGAAATAGCCTCCGCGGTGGCACCGCCGCTCGGACGCGCGCGCCCGGCCGGCGCGGCGCGGGATTTTTCCGGTGCGTGCCAGCCGTGTGCGGGGCGCGGGAGCGGGCACCGAGTGTGATTCCAGATGGAAATTTTCGGAGCGCCAATCCCTGAATGCGTCCGTTATTGACGTGACTGTTTGGAAATTGTATATGTTGGACTAGAGTCTGGCTATTTGAGATCGGCTTACGTAACTTGGTAGGCCACTGGATGGCTTGTGTTTATTCATTGGAAGCCTGTCCGCGATGTCTGTCAGTGGTATCGGAATTGTAATCGGAACCAAACGATAATATTGCGACACACATAAGATGTTCTGTACCTTTTTTTGCCTACCACTGGATTATTTCAGGCTGTCTGATAACGTCGACATTCAACGTTGGTCCGTAGCTCGCGTGCCTTCCATTCGGTTTGTGTCTGACGCTGCCATTCGTGTTCGTGTTTTACTGGATCACAGTACCGTCCGTCGGCTGTTTTGTGTCCCTCTCTCCCAGGACGACTGCCCTCTGCTGGTGACTGACGTCTCTCTCCTTTACTCTAGCAGGCAGTGCTTTGCCGTAATTTACCCCCACCCCTGGACTCCGGCAGACGGTGCAGTTCCGCGTCTAACTCATCCCCCGTGCTTATACAGACGGTCCCGCTCCGTGTCTAACGCCTCCCCCGCTCTCCCCCAGACGGTCCCGCTCCGCCGCCATGCTGCCGGTGCCGCTGTTCCGGCTGCGGCCTCTGCTGGGGTTGGACGGCGGCGCCTCCGTCCGGCTGGTGGCCGCTCGGCAGACGGGCGCCGACTCGGTGCTGGCGCTGCTGCTGGACTCTGGCGCCCTGATGCTGGTGCTGCTGCGGCCCCGCCGCCGGCCCGTAGTGCGCCAGGTGGACCTACCGGCCGAGACGGACAAACGCGTGGCGGCCATGTGTCTGTGTCCGACCGGTGACTGGTTGTTAGTGGCGGTGTCTGCCGGGGCGCTGTTCGTGCTGCCCGCCGGCTGCGCGCTGAGGGGCACCCGACCCTCGCCCGGTGGACGACTGCGGGCTGACGACGCGACGGCGTACCCCCCGGCAGCGCACCCGCCGCAGCCGACAGCCGTCGCCTGGTGGCGCCACGGCAGCGCGGACCTCGCGGTGATCGGTGGACGACAGGGGGAGATCGAGTTTGTAGACTTGGCCAGTGGTGAGCGAGTGGGCGGGACCTATGTGCGACGCGGCATCGCGAGACTGGACGTAGTGCGTGAGGACATAGAGGGGCGTGTGTATCTCCTCATCTCGAGTGCCGGCGGCGGTGAGCAGTGGCGGCTGTTACTCGAGCACCAGGTGGCCGGGTATATCGTGCCTCTGGACGCGCTGCAGGCGGCGCCGTCCTCGGAGAGCACAGACTCGCCCGGAGAGCTGGTCAGGAACAAACTGAACAGCCTGCGCCAGCTGTCGCGCGAGAAGCTGGGCTCGCTGCAGCAGCGCTGGGCCGACTCGCGCCTGTTTCGCCGCTCGGTGGCCAGGGACGAAACGGGCGCGTGCGGTACGGCCAGCGGCTCGGACTCGGCCTCCACCGGCTCCGGCTCCACGCCCATCGTCACTGTCGAGCCAGACACGCCGCGCACGCCCAAACCGGAGAGCCTGACCGGGCTGGTGGGGGAGACGCGTGTGGCGCTGCACTCACTGCGCTCGGGAGATGTGCTGGCTGGGTACTACGAGCCCACCGGAACACTGTCGGTACATATGGCCGACCTGGAGTCTGTGCCGCTGTCTATCCACAAAATGCCGCCGTCCGTCGGCAGACTACTCGTCACGGACGCCGTGATTTTCGTGACGGACGTGGACGGCGCGCGGCTGTTCCTCATCTCCAGTAACTTCTCTCAGTGTGACATGGACATGCGTCGGTTTAACGAGGACTGCGTGCTGTCGGTGTTCGACCTGGAGCCGGCGGACGGGCTGCTGGCGCTGCTTCCCACCGCCGAGAGCGCGCCGCCGGCCCGGCCGCGGCTCCGTCCCCACCTGGAGACTCTGAAGCCGACACCGATGCGCGGTTGTCTGGTGGTGACCCGGCGCGGGCTGGCCATCTGTGAACCGCTGACCACCCCGGAGGCGGCGCTGCTGGAGCTGGGGACGTCGGCCGGCGCTGGAGCTCACCTGCTCGAGCGGGTACACAAACTGTTCAACGTACCCGTCGGCAGGCTGTTTGAGACGCTGGGTGATCTGAAGCTGGAGGAACGCGAGTTCACGCTAGCGCTGGCCTACTATCGTCTCACCAAGAAACCACACATGGCGGTGGTGCACAAGTTTGCCGCGTTCGGGTACTCGTCACAGCTGCTGCACTACGCCACCATCCTGCTGTCGGGTGTGAGCGAGGGCCTGCTGCTCTCGGACCGGCGGCGGCTCTCGGATATGGCACTGCTGGCGCACTGCGAGATGGCCCTGCGATCGGGCTCCGCCAACGACGACGCCGCGCTCGCCAAGTTTCTGAGGACAAACCGGCACTATGACGCTGGCCTGGCTCTGCAGTATACCCTGCTGGCGCGTCAGTGGGACTGTGTGCGGTACCTGCTGGCCGAGCGGCGCCAGCAGCAGCGGCTGCTGGCCTGTCTGACCAGCCCCGAGCCGGCGCCGGCGCCGCCCGGTGACGACGTCCTCGACCACGAGGTGGCGCACGACCCGGGCCTGCGAGCCGTGCTGCTCGCCCGGCCGCGGCTCGCCGGCCTGTACGTGATGAAGGTGTGTGAGCGGGTGCCGCGGCTGCCGGCGGCGGTGCTCCGACGGCTGGCGGCTATCACTGACCCTCTGAGCGCGGAGCTGCGGCCGCTGACACACGGCCTGCTCGGCCACCAGCCGTCCCGCCGCACGCTGTCCACCTCTCAGCCGCCGTCCCGGACCACCCTCACCAACGGCGGCAGTCAGGAGCTGTGTCCTCTGGAACCAGACGACCTGGTGGACCTGCACCTGCACGTGCTGCTGCACCTGGTGCGCGCCGCCGGGCCGGGCCGCGCCGCCGTGCTGCCCGCCCAGGCCGAGGCGCCGTGTCGTGCCGTTGGCGCCGCTGCCGACTGGCCGCCGACGCTCAGTGCTGGGTTCTCTCACGCGGCGCTCAGCCGGCGCGGCGAGCTGATTGTCTGGGGCGAGAACAGCTCGCAGTGTCTCGGCGACCCGGAGCTCAGCGCCGAGCTGGCCACCCCGCGCGCCGTGGAGCACCTCTCGGCCGTCGGTGTGGCCGTTATCCAGGTGGCGTGCGGTCGGGCGCACACAGTGGCGCTCACCACGGGCGGAGTGTACGCCTGGGGTGCCGGACGGTACGGCCAGCTCGGCCTGGGTGCGCCCGGCTCGTGTCCTCACCCGCGGCTGCTGCAGACTCTCGCCTACCGACGCGTGGTGCGCGTGGCGGCCGGACAGTACCACTCCCTGGCGCTCACTGACGACGGACGCCTCTGGGCCTGGGGCTGGAACGTGTTCGGTCAGTGCGGCCGGTCCAGTGTCGAGGACGTGCTGTGGCCGCGACCGGTCCCCGGAATGAGCAAGAGGCGTGTATCGGCTGTGGCCGCCGGCTATGCGCACTCGGCGGCGCTCACTGACGACGGAAAAGTGTTTGTGTTCGGGTGTAATGCGTACGGACAGCTGGGTGACGGATCGACACGGAAGAGTTGCCGCGTGACACAGGTTGAGCTGCCCGAGCCGGCTGTGCACCTGGCGTGTGGCTTCTTCTGCTGTGTGGCGGTGCTTCGGTCAGGCCGCGTGTTTCGCTGGGGTCTGGACCCGCAGAGTGTGCGGCTCGGCGCTCAGGCGCAGAAGAAGAAATCTCAGGCGGCAGCGGCGGCAGCAGCGGCAGCGGCCACCACAAACGGTGTCTCCAACGGTCCCGTGTCGACGCCCGCGCGCCCGGTCGGACCGGAGGCCCGCAGCAGTCAGAAGACAGTGGACCTTCTACGGGACGCGGCGCCCGGCGAGGCGACGCCGCCGGTGCGAGTGCAGCTCACCACCGCCACACCGCCAGCGGCGGCCGGCCGGCCCATCCCTCCCATTCGCGTTCAACTCGCCAACGCCACGCCTCCGCCGGTGCCGGCAGCCGGCCGTCCGACCCCTGACCCGCCGCCGGGCCCACAGCCACCGCCGGCCGCCACCGCCACCTCCCAGGCAGGCACCTTCACCCCGGAGACGCGCGATCACCTCAGTCCATCCGAGGTGGACACGTCAGACGTGGACGGCCGCGTGGTGAGTGTGGCCGGAGGCGCGCAGCACACGCTCTACCTGAGCTCCAGCGGCCGGCTGTACGCGCAGGGCCGGAATCTGGACGGCCAGCTGGGGGTCGGGGGCAGGCAGGAGGCGCCGCGGCTCTCCGAGGTCACGGTGCCGGGCGGCGCGCAGACGGTGGCTGTGGCGTGCGGCGCTGACTTCACCCTGCTGCTCACCGACGACGGAGCCGTGCTCGGCTGCGGCAGCAACAGCTACGGACAGCTGGGCCAGCTGCCGGCCGCCGACAAACTGGACGACGCCAAGCTGGTGCTGCTGAAAAACCGGCGCCTGCTGCGGCTGCCGCAGGGCCAGAACTCGTCCGAGACGCCTCAGCCGGTGGTGGCCACCGACAGCGGCCGGCGCACGCCGCTCGAGGTGGCCTTCAGTCTGACGGAGCGGCACGAGTGCGCCTTCAGCCGGCCGGCCGAGTTCTCCGGCGACGCCGAGCGACTGCACGCCATCATCGGCCTCTTCCAGGGGAGTTACGACTCGGCGCAGCTGCTGGCCAAGTGTCTGGACATGGGCTGTCTGTACGCGGCGGCGCGCGTCTGCTGCGTGGCCGGGAAGCCAGCCAAGGCGCTGCAGCACCACCTGGCGGCGATCCGCGCGGAGGCGGCGGCCGAGCCAGCCAACGGCGGCGGCGGCGAGGCGCTGCTGGGCGCCGTCACGGCCGTGGCCGCCGAGTACCTGGCCCTGCCGGTGGACGGCTCGGTGGCGGGCAGCGTGCAGCTGCGTCAGCTGCTGCTGGAGCTGGTCGCCTTCTGGCTGGACTGCCAGCTGCCGGTGCCGCGGCTGGAGCAGCTGCTGGAGCCGCAGCTGGAGCGGCTCGCCCACCCGCTGGCCGTACTGCTGTTCGGTGGTAGCGCCGACATGCAGCTGTCCGACTCTCGCATCAGCGCGCTCTTCTCCCGCCTGTCGGCTGGCTTCTGTGTGCGACTGTGCGCGCTGGTGTGCGCCCAGATCAGCGCCGGCCGCATCTCCCGCGAGTTTCTGCCGGCGCTCGGCCGTTTAGTCCTGCCGCCGTCGGCGCAGCCCGTACCGGCTGACGCAGTACTCGACTCTGTCATCTGTCAGCTCCTTCGGCACCGGGACGGCGGAGTGCAACTCACCGAATCTCGCCTCGCCGAGCTGGCCCTGACTGACCCGCCGCCGGCACAGTTAGTCGCCTTCTCCTGTGGCCACTCTCTGAGCAGCGCCGCGCTGCGGGACGACGCGCTGCCGGAGCTGCGCGTCGGCCTGTCGTCGCTGGGCCGTCCGATCCCGCGCACGGCCGCCCTGCTGATGGCCCAGTACCGCCAGCTGGACGGCTGCCGCAGCGCCTGTCCCAGCTGCGTGCTGCGCTATGTGCAGCGCTGTGTGGACACGACCAGTGAGGAGGAGGACGAGATGTTGTAGCAGACGGCCGGCGGTCGGCGGCGGCCCGACCGGGACGGCGCCGCGCGCCGAGCCTCCTGCGGCGGCCGCTGCCGGATCGCCTGAACACCCAGGTGGGTACACGTGTGCTGTGGAATGGCGTGTGCGAGTAGGAATGTGGGGGGGGGGGGATTGTGACATGATGCATCTGAAGTAAACTCTCCTTTTGTAAGTTATGTTTATGTTTTCATCTTGGCATGGTGAAAAACTGTTGTGCTTTTATCTTAGTTTTATGCGTTTTCTCTTCGTGATAAGTTTAGTGAAGCTCATGAGTCATGCGGATGGATCAGTCCTTAAGGCTGGTTGGATAGATACGGCTTACACCTTTGCTTGTTTGTCTCGGCCTAATTTAGTTGCGATTTCATCGGTGTATCTTTTATGATAAACTAAATCATTTCCCCTCCCGACAGGACCTGCTCCAGCTGGCGGAGCTGGCCAGTGGTCTCAGTCAGTGCACGCCTCGCCGGTACCAGCGGAGGACGCCCCGGCTGCGGTACTCCTTACTCTGCCCCCAGCCAGGGACACCTCCGTACTCTGCCTCTAGCCGGACTCAGCCCCATAGTGGTCCCACAGACCGTAGCTCTCTTCTGTCTAGTCCTGATTTCCGCCGACACCGCTGCGGTTGCTATGGCAACGAACGGAACAAGAACGTGTCTTCACTGTTGTGTGCTGTGAGCCGCCGGCCGGCCGGCCCGGATCCTGAGCTTTGACGGGTGTCATTTTGACGGATTAATTTGTGTAATCGATGCTGTGCGGATGATCTAATCCAGTGTTGGGATATTATAAGCGGTTGTTGTGCATATGTCTGCGTAGAGCTGCTATGGTTTGTTGAATATACCGGCGGTCGCTGCGCTGTAACTCGGGAGCCGGTCATTGGGCGCTCAGGGAATTGACGTTTCCTTTGCAGGTCGGCAGTGTCTGTGTTTAGTCTCAAACGTGGCTGTACTATTTCCGACTATTTAACTCTCACTGCGGTGGGCATTGCGGGCGGCTGGCTGTACCGGTCGTGACTCCGCGACAGTGACTGGTTCGTATCTCTGTGTGTGTTGGTGCCTTTACCGTCTGTGTACCCGCCGAGCCGTGACCCCTGACCTCACAGGGTGACCCGGCGGCCGGCCGGCCAGGACCCCTCCCCCGCAACCCTAGGCTGCTGTCGGGCCCTGCCCGCTCCCCGGAGTGCTGTGCCCTCCCCATGAGTCTCCCTGAGCTGTGTGCCGCCGGGGCGGTGTGGTGGTCCTCCCAGAGGCGCCGGTGGCGACATCTCGCGGAGGCAGGCGGAGTCGCGCCCCGACGTGTCGTGCTTTCAGTTGTTTGTTGCTGGACGCTTGTATACGTTAAATAATACATGTTATCTACCTTTGGCGGAGTGTTTGGCCATTGAGCTGACGTCAGTTTTGGGTTTATCTGTTGTTTTGTACTAGCGATTAGTGATATCAAGGGACGCTACTAGAGTGGAGGCGCCTGGCTCGGTTACACGCCACCCTTCTGCTGTCCAGGATAGCAAGTTTTATGTGGAAATTGAATTTCGTGAGCACCATTATATTGCCCTTGCCCCTTAGTCGCTCTTTCCTAACTCTGCAGAACTGGATCGGTAGCTGATAGTAAGAGCGGACGCAAATCGGTTCATTCGCTATGGCGTGGTGGTAAAATTATTTCAACGCCCACTAAACTAAAAGTTTATACCAGCAACACCTTCAATCATGAAATTTGTCACTGAAATGCAATTCATGCACGATACGTCTCCGCTTTTCTGTAGTTTTCGTCATTCGGGCTCTTCGGGCTCATAGACTCAAAAGTCGCCTGTCTATTCTGCGATCTGAGTATTTCATCCATTATAGTTTCATCCATAGTTTCATCCATCAATTTATCCAATGTTTCATCAATATAAGTAGGCCTATATGACCTGGAATTGTAAATGTTAATTAAAAAATGGATAAAAGACACGGTAATGATACTTGAAAGCGGCATTTTAAATACATTATTTTGTGACTTATTTGTCTGCCATTCTGCGATCATATGATTTTACCCCGGAACATTTAAAAAGACATTATTTCTTGTCGACTCCTTTCGAAATTCGAATTTTTCCTCCTTATGAATTTCAGACAGAGGCTCATTCTTTATCGGAACAACGTCATTGAATTATATTGACATGAGAACTGTAAGAAAAATCCGTCATATTCCACCGAATTTCTTTGTCCAATTACCAAAGCTCTTGAATTTACGTACGGCTCATTTCTGACGCACCTGCTACATATAAAAAATCAAACAATCGAAGTTTTGCTCATTGTCTGAAAAGGGTTGGAGTGTGTTGAGCGGACTGGAGTGGTTAGTGAGTTGTTACGTCCTGGTATTTTTGACGTATATTGACAATACATTGTAGCATCTCGTCCTATGGATTGTGTCAGTTTTACCTGAGTTTGAGTTGAATTATATATTTTTTGAAGTACACCTTGACCTGTGTCAGTGCTGGTTACTATCTCAACCTTGTTCTTTTCTTCATCACTTATAGATAATTCAAGATATAATATTCATCTAAATTGTTGAAATAGATGCCCATGTGCTTCTTTTTGAAGTCAAGTGAAAAGTTGCCTTCATTTAGGTATAAGTTTGCTTTGGGATTCCATCATGAAGTGCATTATTTTAATTTATGTTTCTGAGCCACTGGCTGTCTGGGTCTAGCACCCTGGGTGAACAGGTTCAGATCGCTTCCCTGTTCTCTCTCGTCTTTTGTGATATTGTCGAGGGAAATTGATAAAGATGCATTTGTCACAATTACGATATGCCAGAAAGCTTGAGTTGAGAGGTGCCATTCTGTTTGAGTCATTGGCATCTATTCTTGGTTATAGAATGAATTTACCTGAGAGTTGAAACAGGTTAAAATAAACATCTTATTCAACAGATGATAGTGATAGTGTACATGTGGTTAATTGTTTCAGTAATTCTTCTTTAACTCCCAAAGGGTTATTTTACTCTGTTATTTAGCCTAGCCTGTTTGAGATGAGATCTTCATGCATGCAGTTTTATCTATTAATTGTCTTTTTTCCAGTTAAATCATGGGACAACATCATGGCAAGCAAACTGAGAAGGACCAGAAGCTCCTATTCTCACCTGAATCTCAGGATAAACTAAAGGAGGTCTTCTTGGATGCTTCAATTGGAGATGAAAAAGTTTGTTTGGTGAAAGGACTACAGGTAAGTCAACTTTTTTCAGAACTGCTATCTGATTTATTTTTCAATACATCATCATTGCCTATAACTTTTAACTGGCAGCTACATCTAAGCATTGCACTGCTTATGCTTGTGGTTAGCTACCAAACCCATTAGCTTTTTATCAATAATTTTGTTAATTGCTAGGTATCAATTGGGATCTTTCTAATTATGCTCCCTGCATTCTCTTGGATTGCGATCCTCCCTTCCAGAGCTCAATGGCTTGAGGGTCTGATGCCCAGTGGGCTAGCTTTCTTAGCAATAATTCAAATTATCTACTTTTCTGCTTGATACCTACTTATTTCAGGCTCTTGGTAGTGTTAGAGATGCTCTGTAGCTGTCTTTCATTGGTAGGATCCCTCAATTCTCATGCCCTGCTGGCCATCTGGGGATGGTCAAAATGGTTTCCAGATTACCTGACTGGAAAAGGTCAAGAAGAATCTTATCAGAAAATCTTATCAGAAAATCAGTTTTTTTTTCGGATGAACATATTGATAGTAATTTATTGCTATGCCACACTTCTTAACCTGGTCAAAACAGTGGTCAAGTCTGTGTGATTTAATAAGACATTTTGTAAGAATTTGTATGATTTCAAATTTATAATAGGTATATGTTTATTGATTCATTTTTCCAGCTAGTTATTTAGTAGAAACCAACTTTATAATGTTTGGGTGTTTGAACTGCATACAAAAAAGACACTGTTAACTATCGGCCGTCGTCTCTTCCCTCGCTCTCAGGAATGTCTGGGCCGCGTGCTGCACTCGACCATCGCGGCGCGGCTGTGTCAGCAAATGCACCCGGACGGCGCCGGCAAGATCGACTACCAGTCGTACGTGTTCCTCACCAACGCTCTCTTCAAGGCCACGCTGGAGCAGCGCAGCGCTCTGGTGGAGACGCTGGCGCGCGGCGACTCGGACCACGTCGACATCCTCGACCTCAGACACGTGAGTGACGGAAAACAGCAGCTGGTATCCAACCAGCTGGTTGGATACCAGCTGCCGTACTCATGATTTGATTGCTTAAATGTGTTTGGAAAAGGTTTCAAAGAGTTAACTCTCATTCAAGCTTGAATCGCATTAGGAAGCTGATTAGTCTGTGAAAGTTTGCTTTCATCGGAGGACTCAGCGAGATGGATGCTATTTATGCCGATCGATTTTCCCGCATCGTAATCGACACCAGTTGTTTCGGCTATCAGCCGTTTTACGTACAGTGATTCATTGATACGTACAGTGATCATATGATGCCAAAGAAACGCTCGGCAACCTTGCGAGTTACGACAACGATGAATTCATATCAAGTATCAACAAGTTTCCTGATACCGCCACCTCTCAGCATTATTCGTTCTGCATCCCCGATAGTCATATGCGCTCATTTCTACCGTATCCAAGTTGCATGTTTACTCGAGCTCCGATAAGTGTTATCGGAGACCCCCGATCCCAGTGCACGCGCACAGATATCCCGGTGGCTGAATATCCGCCGTCGGTCACGCGGACGCCCCGGGGACTGCGCCGCACGGCGGACAGTCACGAGAACAGTCACGTGCCTAGCCAGGTGTGGCGCAGTTTCTTTCTTTGTATGCAGTCTGTCGACTGATGACGCAGTGTGAACCGTGCCGCGGCGTATGTATGCCTCGGTTAGACACGGCTGAGGGATGTAGAAATCGAACTCGCCGAGAGGAAGGGAGTTCGATAGAAATGGACCGCTGAGTCTGACACCTTATGAGGAAATGTAGCAGGAAATGAGATACGCGAGCGGGGAGATACCGCGGGTCGTATGGTAATTGGCGATCGCTCGACATGGAAATCAAATACCGTTAGAACGGCTCGCGTCAGCTGGGCATTCTCCTCAAGTGGTGTGCTAAAAATAGGCTGCGTAAAAATGGACTGAAATATTGCTGCCTGTATTAGGCGTTACATACCGACATTATAAGGCCTGTATGTATATAAGCTTAGGATGAATCTAGTTATAGCATTGTATTGTATTGTACATTTAAGAGCGATCCTCATTCTCCATTGCGTGGCGACTACTGCTCAGAATCCGTGTCCGCGGTTACTAATCTAAGCATTCACAATATTCGCACATTCGCTTACGTCAAATCACGGAAGCCGATAATGATGGAATTTACCCTTTTCCGACAGTACGTGGAGAAGATGGTGCTGTCGTACGTGTCGGTACTGAAGCTGACGAAGCGGCCCAAGATGGAGAGCCTGGAGCGGCTGACCACGGCACTGCTGGCCGAGTTTAGCGACAAGGATGCCTCCGTGCCCGTCACACAGGTCAGTGCTCAGTCAGAGGGAGGGTCCAGTGGAGGGTGCCAATGACTGGGGATGGTCGGGCTCGGGACTGGTGGATGGGGCATACCGTAAAATTATGCATCTTGCATCGGTCTATGTTGGAGGTTTAGGCAATGTTGCTTTTCGGAAAATCAAGATTTGTTTGAAAATAAGCGCAGGTTTTTATCTGTGGCATCGCATTTTTTTCTGGCCGGTTTACGACTTATTTTTGCTCAGTTAATGCGTCTTCACTACGGTTCGCAAGCGTGATCTGTCTACCTCTGCTGCACCGTGCGCTCCCCGCTCTAACCCCTCCGTCTCGCCTCAGAGCGACATCGAGTCGTGGCTGCTGCGCTGCCCGCTGTTCGCCGCCATCCAGACCAACGTGTTCCGCTCGGCATTCAATCTGGACATCCCGCACGACTACCGGCACATCCTGCCGGACATGCCCGACATCGACAAAAGCTACGAGCCGGCCATCGGCCCCCTGGAGAGGATGTTCGTCAACTACGCGCTGCCACAGCAGCAGCGTGACCAGTGGAGGCTCTTCTTCTCCAACAAAATACACGGCCAGAGCTTCAGGTGATTGGCGCCGGAGATGATGCAAAGAACGTTGCCCAGTTGTTAGTGTGACGAAATTTCTACGCATGTTTACTTATCTTCTTGGACTTATCGGTCAAAGTTCTAGTTAGCTCGTGAGTAGAAACGACACATCTGTTACTGGTTGAGACAGCTGTTGAAACGAACACAATTTAAATTGTGTCGTGGCGTGCATTTATCGTAAAGAGGTGTGAATAATTTTACTGAACCTGGTGTATTATTTTATACCGATTACAGTATTCTTCATAGCCATTTTGTTTGGCGTATCTCCTCTGACCTTTT